CCTCATCATCATCATCCTGACTGAGCCTAGCGTGCCAGAAGCTAACTGCAGCTGTCTCAATTCACACTGTGACTGTCGCAGTATGAACCTCACCAGTGTCCCTCAGAACCAAGCAATATCCATTCGTAGCTTGGACTTGACATCTAATGCTATAACAACTTTAAGCCAGTCAGAAATGAATGTGCTCTTGAGGTATAAGGACTTAAGAGTTTTAAAATTCGCTAAAAATCGTATTTTTAAGATAGATTGTTTCCCACATCTGCCCAGGCTTAAAACGTTGACCTTGAAGAAGAATAGGATTACCCAGATTTCCCCTAAAACATTTTTAAATCTACCCAAACTAACATTTTTACTCCTAAATTTCAACCAGATAAATAACATCCATCCTGGAACATTCTCAAATCTTCCGTGTCTCAAACGTTTGTTCCTGGGTAACAACCAGATAACTCATATATCGCCTGGTGCCCTCTCAAATCTTCCCCAGCTCCAAATGTTGTTCCTTCACCGTAATCAGATAAGAGAAGTTCAATCTGGTACATTTTCTGACTTCCCCCAGCTTCAAAGTCTTTACCTGTACAGCAACAAAATAACAACTATCGAGTCTGGCTCATTCTCAAATCTTCCCAAGCTGCGTTGTTTGATGCTGAGCAATAACCAGATAGCTCTCCTTCCCCCGTCAATCTATGACATTTTATCATCACTGTCTATGGTAGCAATTCAATCAAACCCCTGGCAGTGTGACTGTGCGATGCTTCCATTCAGGCTTAAAATGACTGGGTCTCATGCATTTGAGAATATGATAACATGTGCCCAACCTGCTAACTTTAGATCAAAAGCGCTTAAAGATATCAATCCCGAAGACTTAGTGTGTAAAGAGCAAACTACGTCAGCCACCCCTGTTGATACTACAGCCTTATATCCAGTATCTACCTCTTTATTAGTTGAGCAAACTACGTCAACTATACCTGTTGATAGCAAGGCCTTGTATCCAGTGTCTACCTCATTATTACTTGAAAACACAGAGAGTAATTATGACACTACAGCAAGTCTTGATAGCTCCACCGCCAGCTTAACGAGCCGTCCTATAAATGTCAGAATTGCAACGCTGTCTGTTGATACAAATAGGGAAGGTCTTACAGACTTAATCACGAGTTTGTTACCGAAATCACACCATACTATTACATATGTGTCAGAAAAAGCGGAGAGCACTTACGAACCACCTCCCAGTCCCCGTCTATATGTTATCGTTGGTTCTATCTGTGGTCCAATTACTGGCACTGCCATCGTGGTTACAATCATTATGACTATAAACTGGCAGAAGAGGAAGAACAGAGAATCCCCTTCATACCCTCGCCCTGCAAGTTCAAATGCTGTAATGACCGATGGTCATGATCAGACAGGGCAGGGCCAGTCTCAGGCTAACAATCAATATCAAGCTTTGATTGTTAAAAATACACTAAACCAAAGTCTGGCGGCAGGTTATACTGTAATGACCAGTGGTCATGGTCAGACAGGAAAGGGTCAGTTCAAAAATGTCACGGGACCCTATGTAAATGCCACTGATGGTTATACCGCAATGACCAGTTGTCGTGGTCAGGCAGGGCAGGGTCAGTTTGAAAATGTCACTCGATCCTATCTTAATACCACTGATGGTTATACTGTAATGACCAGTGGTCTTGGTCAGAAAGAGCAGGGTCAGTTTCGTACAGTCACTAAATCCAATCCAAACACCACAGATGATTATTATACTGTAATGGCCAGTGGTCATGATCAGACACGAGAGAGCAATTCGCAGTCTACCACTCAATGCTTGGATCAAACATATTCTTGTAACACCGAGTTATCTGCTAAACAGTCGAATCCTCTATATTCACCAGTGGAAACAACAGAGAAACAGACCAATTCTCTATATTAAAACGAGGAAACACCACCAAAACAACCGAATTCCCTATATTCAAACGAGGAAACACCACCAAAACAATCGAATTCCCTACATTCAAACGAGGAAACACACAGCTCAGGTTTAGAGCAGATTGATGAAAATAAGGCACCTAGACCTCACAAACGAAACAAACCTACAGATGAGCCTCCTCCCCTTCCTCCTAAACAAAAAAAATATTGTTACCAGTCTCAGAAGTGAACAGAAAAGGTGCACATGAAAATCTCTAGGTGTACAAAAAATGAGATGAAATAACATTCCAGAGAGCAGGTTGCATATCCAAGTTTTATACATTCTATGATATAAGCTAAAACTATGTGGCCTCCTTCAGTCAATGCTGATCATGGTAAAATCCCCCGATTAATATCAGCCCTAAAGCTTTGGCTATATGTGTGACGTCGGTGATGCAACGGTTAGAGCGCTGGACTCGGAACCGAGAGGTCCCGGGTTCGGTACTCACCGTGGCCCAACGTTGTGCCACCTATACGGTGGAGTGACGCCCACCGAGCCTCTTAGGCTAATCTGTCTGTCTGGGTGCCAAAAACACCTTACGGATTTGGTGCGCCGATGTGACAACATCTGCACATTGGCCACTGAGAGCCGATAAAATTTTTTGTTTTTAATATAAGCTTCGGCTATGGCAGAACAGTCCAATACGAGAATGACCATCCTATCACATAGGACCTGTAAGCTGGGTCAGGTCTGTTGTATGTACAGCTCTTTTTTCTGTATCTGCTTCTTTGCAAACTATACTGTAAACAAAATAGTTTGCTAAAATTTTCTTTTATCTCAAATAATGTGGCGAAAAAATTATATACACGTAAAGTAGAAAAATACATTTTGTAACTTACATTATGCTAAGGAAGTTAATATTAGGCTTCACCATATTAATTCTTTGATTTTCACCATGTATGTACATATCGATAACTTTTTATTGACGCTATTGTGTTTTATACCTTATAAACTTGTCTACATATACGTTTGTTTATTATTGTGATAAAATAAATTAATATACCTTAGGGTCCTCCCTCCAGGATGCATTCAAAACATTATAGGGTCATTAGTCTGCCATTTTGACCTCCTATAATACTGTGTAATGCCCAACCGGGTGATGTTAACCAACAACCAGACACACACAAACCCACAACTTAACCACTCAAAATAAATTCCCTTCCCGCAAATAATACGAAACATGAGTTAGCAATGTAGAAGCCATAGCGTGCACATATATATACATATAGTATTGTCATAAAATGAAATAGTACTAAGTTAGTAGGCTTTGTTAGTGGTTTCTGATGTTGATAAAATGAAAGTAATTTCTGATACGTTCTGCAGTATGAAACAAAACCAACATCAGATTTTGGGCATGCTACTTTTATTATCAGTACTGTATACAATATTAACATAGTGTTAAGTAAATGATACTCTAGTAAAATGGCTCATACATGTATGTAGGACACCACGAGAAGTGAAAACTGTTGTGAACTTACAACAATATATTATACACCTGTTGTAACAATATAATATAGAATGCATAATTCGTTGTCCATTATTGACAAATTATTATTAAGTTATTGCTTGAATGATTCTAAACTGCATTAACTGCATAGATGCAATTTACTGTCATTTTATACTTATACATATTTAGGCAATAGTGTAGACCCTATATTATCTGGATATCAATTTTACTAAATCTATACAAGAATTTATATACTCCATATATGTACTCCATACTACTTAAATAGTAAAAGGTATTACTCAAAGTTACTGCTATTAGAAATATGCAAAACGTATGACTCATTTAAGTATATAATTCGATACAAACACATGATTATGTTTACCGAAGGAAGACATATTGTTTTTGCTCAATTTCTTCTTCCTCTTCTTCTTCTGTTCCAAACACTAACCTTTGACCTCGCCAATGGCCTCTTTTGTTGACGTCTGTCACCATAGTAACTGGTGTTGGGTTACATAATGTTTCAATTTTATAGTAGGCATTTAGGCTCCTGTTACCATATACATGTACATGTATGTGAATGTGTTTGAGTAAGAATTAACAGAGCAGACCATATCCGAAGGTAAACATTATGCATTTGCTTGCAAATATTATTTCTAGTTGTTGTATATCTCATCTGTTTTGAGGACCTTTTTCCAATAAAGTGAACAGACTTAGTATGATAGAATATGGTTTCCTTGCATGTTGTTATCTAATATTTATATCTAAATTAATGTAGCATGACTACAGTAAGTAATTGAGCAGATTGGGTCATTTGCTCTATTTGAAAACAAGGCAGCAAATATATATAAGAATAAAGCTTCGTGACATTTATGTATACCATGTAAACATCTTCAAACACCACATGTCCTTGATAATCAACTACCATTTATCCTTAAAATCATCATCATTATTATCATGCCTTCGGATTAATCCTATGAGGTACGTTTGATAAAGTTACTCCGGTACACCCTGTTTCTCACTGTGTACACTAAAGTAGTCCCTGCGAGACCAGTGTCTTTCTCTATCATTGAAAAAAGTGTCGTATATGGCCCTTCATGAGGGTCTGCATGGGGGGGTCCTGGCAACGGTTAACGGTAAATTCAGCAGGGCCGATAACGCTTAACGGTAAATTCAGGACGGTCGGCAACGCTTAACGGTAAATTGACAGGCTTTTTTTTCAAGCTGCACTGGATTTGGTATCTCGCTTTGTGAGAAAAGGTGATCACTGACAAAATTACGTATACCTTACATGTAATGAAGCATGCATTAAAGGTATGTGTACCCTGTGTTTCCCACCTGCCCTGGTCCCCGAGTGCGTCCACAAATACCGGGGTGTCCGAGTCGACGTCGGCCAGCTTGCATTTTTCAGTCTGCCCAGTTTTACCGATGGATTTTGAGAGGGGAGCGCCGAAGGCGCTCGTAATCTAGGGGGGTCTGGGGGAATGCTCCCCCGGGAAATTTAGGATTTTTAAGCCTTCAAAAACGCAATTTCCCGCATTTTGA